TCTGAATGCCGACTCTGGAGCAGCATTCTGATGCTGGATGAATTCTTTGTAAATAATTTATCCAGTTAAATTTGGGCATTTCTTGGTTGTCTGAAGTTTTCCTTCCTTAATTGCCTACTTCTTCTGTCTCCAAGAAGAGTGAGCAGAGGGGCTTGCACACAGAAAGTACTAGCAGGACTTTCCTTTCGGCAAGGATGAATTTTTTGTTGTGGCCTGAGACAGATTCATTGTGTGGCTTCTGTAGAGTATTTCTGTGGACTAATAATGTCTTTTCTGGTTGCTAAAAGACAGGTGGGTCAAACATAGTGGTGAGCACGTGGAGACATCAGTGGTTGATGCCAGGTATCTGTCTCTGATGTGGAGCCAGATTTTTTCCCCTGGAGACTAGTGCTCCCTTGTGTACCTAAATGCGGGCCAGAGCACTCTGCCCCTGTTTTGCATTCAGTGCATTGAGCCTTTCTAAAAATCTGATCCTCCATTTATTTTTGATTGCAGATACTTCCCCTTGCAGAATTTTAATAGACTGGTTTATGTTTCCATTGTCTGATGTCAGGTGTGCTAGCATGTCTCTCCTCTTCAGTAAAAACAATAGACCAGTCAGTCTCACGGGCTAGTTCTCATGCCTTGCAGACTTGTGCTGCAAGATTTGGATTCTGAATGTTCCCCTGAATGCTTTATTTCTTCCATTTCTGCTGGCCTCGTGTTTCCTAAGAGCTCGATGCTAGCTTAGATGTCTTGGAAGCTCTCAATTATGTAAATATTTACAGACTTCCCCTCCACTAAAGCTAATGCTCAATTTGATCTGGCTGTGTACCTACCTACACACAGTACTGAAAATATCTACCACTGCTTGAAGCATAAGGAGTATGGTGTTGCAGATTTCTGTCCCCCCCTCTGATTAAACTGACAAGTTTTAGAAGTGCTGTGAAATGCTATCCCATCCCTACCCCGATATCTCTTCCCAAATTGGGTAGGATTTTCAAGAAACGGGGACACTGGGTAAGACGTGGAAAATGAGATTGTAAAACCAGAACATTCTGGAGGTCTACTTCCGTCCACTCGTTTTTTAATGAATTGTGGAGAGAGAAGAGAAGGAGCTTCCATCTTTGCAAAAAGGGTGATCAAAAAGGGAATCTGTCTGAGTGATGGAAAATGAGAGAGGCTGTAGGCTGGCTTTTAGGCCAGACCAAAGAGGAACTTTCCACTTTGTTTCGGCAGGAAGAGGCTTTCTCCTTGTTTGGAAAATCTAGCTTATGCAATTAGATGCAGAAATGCACCGACCAACCTGAAAAGCTGTGCGAAACAGTCCTTAAAACCTTTCAAGGAAATGCTTGCTCTAGAAGTCTTGTAGATGTTGGTTGTATCTGTGAGATCTGGCCACTCCAGTGGATCCATTACATGCAAATTCACTTATGGGGGGATATGACATCACTTATCGGTTAAACTTTTCACAGTGAGCAGACCCTTAAAGGAATCACTGACTATCTGGACAGCTTTGGCCTGGAAGGGTAGGGCCTTTCTGCCCTCAGCTGATCTCTTGTAGCCTCCGAATCATGGGATTCCAGGGATAGCTCAGAGGAATCCCAGGAACTGGGCTGCTAGTTTACCTTCACCTGATGAAGAAGAGAAGGGGAGGTGAGCACGTTCCACCCCCCAGGGAAGGGACTAGGGTGGCATGCTCTCAGCTGTGCTCCTATCAAGATAGATTAGTACAGGGACACCCAATATCTCCTCGTCTCACAAATCCCACTGCATCCATTTGGCCCTCTAGTAAAATGAGGCTTGCTGAACTTGACATTCAGTATCTGTCAGGGAAATGGGCCTAAAATTGAGGTCATCCTCACCTCTCTTCTAGACAATGGCTCTGTAGACTGCTGCATGCACCTTCTTAGAAACCCACTGTTTCCCAAATATTTCTCCCCCCAGTTTATCAGTTTAAGCCAAGGAACTAACAGGTTATCACATCTGCACATTGATTGTCAGCAGGGCTGTCACCTCCAGGAGGTCACTGCCATTTCCACTGTGGCAGAGAGTTTTCTGGGGGCTTTGTGCTGTTGGGAGCTACTTTGTTGTTTGTCTCTCTTCCCTCCTCATTTTTTTTGTTTCTGTTTTTTGATTTAGATTTTCATAAAAGCTGTTATTAGCTCAGAATCTGTTCCCAAGGTCAGAGATGAAGGCATGATCTTCGAGTTTCCACTTGTTTAGGTCGTCTTTGGCTTCAAGGCTTCCTGACCTCCCTCTTCCCTAATTAATAGTGCCGTCCTTTCTGCTCAGATCAAATTGTATTTTCCCTGGGAAATTTAAGTCGCAAATATATGCAGAATAGGAGCTCTGCAGTACTTCTTGCTGGTGAGAGGTTACAGATTGTACTGGTATTTTCCATTTTCTAAGTTATAGGAAATTCCTCATGCTGGCAATCATCTTTCAGTGTGGAAGAAGGATTAGGTCCCAGCCTCTGCATATGGCTAGAGAGTGGGAGGGATCCAGACAGTGGTGTTAGTGTTGTCCGCAGCTCCTCGACATGACCACACTCTGTCTGACCCATTGCTGGGGCAGTCTGAACTGGCTACTGTCCAAGTGGCCTGCTAGACTAGGAACTCTGATGACCAATAAACCCTGCACTGATCTTGGTAACTAGCCATCTCTGTCACCTCAGTATCAATGCAGCAGTCATTTCTGGTCACCTGCAGGGTGCTCATGAGCCTTGGATACAGTACTGACATCCTGGTGTTCCCCCTGATAGAGATTCAGTACAGAAAGCCTTTGTTGGAGGAGAAATCAGAATAATACAAGGTGTCTCGTAACAAATAATAATGATGATGCTGATGATAATGACAATAATGATAATGTTGATTATGATTATGATAACACAAAAAAAATAATACAAAGTGTCTTGCAGTAAAAGATGTATATGGATGTGTGTGTCACTCTGAGCATCTGGTTGTTGAGGATGGATATTTTGACCATCTACGACAGCATGCATTGTAAATGATGCTTCTCACTTTCTAAGGTAACAAGAAGCGTCATTACCAGTTGCTACGTCTGTACTCCTGGTGACTAAAGTGTGTCTATTTTTTCCTGGAGACTCTTTCTTGCCCCCCCCCCATCCCAGTCCCCTTATCCCACTTTGCTGTATGGCCCAGTAGAACTGGCTGGACTGTGCAGTTCAATGCTAAAGCTAACGTGTAGATGGGATTGGGGCACAAGAGGGTGTCTCAGAAAATGTATATATGCTTTAGTCAGAAATACAGAGGCAGTAATGATTCATGTTTCTTTTTTTAAGTTATTTTAAGATCAAAATAAATAATAAATATTATATTAAACAGCTCTGTGTGAGAACAGGACTTCCTATGGGAGTGCTTCAGAAAGCAGCAGCAATTTCACAATAGAACTATTCCATATTCAGTGATCGTTTACTGCACCATATCATCTCTCTCCATAGGCATGAATGATGAGTGTGTTTGACAGTGCCACCATCAGTGTTCCCCCTGCTGGGTAGTTTCCCACTCATTGCACACAAAATAGTTTTATTTTGAAATTGCCTTTCTGAGATGCCCTCGTAACATACCATATGGTGGTAGCCAACTTTGACATAGTCTGTATATAAAGTGGCAGTGGTTTAGGGGTCGTTCAACCAGTGGGAACCCTTCAGTTCAATCAATGTAAAATGTTTCTGAATTGAATTAAAGAATGTCCATGGTGTTTTGCTGCAGTTCAAATGTCACCCTTTAGCTAGTTAACCTGGTACAAGCTTGAATCCAAATTTGCTATATTTGACCAAGTTGCCATGTCAGATGGTCACTAGTTGCATGACATGCATAACCTTTCTTTTAGTTTTGACACACGCTGAAACATGCCTCCCTAGGGAGGTATTTGATTCTGTACATTCTGCTCCAGATAAGCCATCCCTTCATACACCACTCGCATATGCTGTCAGCCTCCGCACCTCATTATAAAACTGGCTGTGCAGCTGAAATCCCTGCTGTACCTACAGTGTTCCACCCCCGCGTATACCAATACCTATTAACTTCAGCATTTGCACAGGCCTTTTTAAAGTTTTATGGCCAAAGTGACTGTAAGTCCAGGTTAATGTGTTCATTATCCAGATAAAATGAGAGAACAAGCCATGAGCAAACAAGGCCCCTTCATTCTGATTTGGCTGGAGAACCATGAATTACAACCAAGTTTGGTAGAAGGTATTTGCTTTATTCACACAGGTCCTTGGAAAATACTGAACTTACTTGGTCAGATCCAACCAATAATTTGCTTGCTTGCACTTGATAGTTCCTTCTTTATTGTCCCAGTTCCCTTTTGCTGTTCTCCTGCTTCACTCTTCAGGATGGCCTGAAATGGGTTCAGTTCCAGCTAACTACATGTGTTTAAGCAACAGGCTGCTTGTGCCTTGATTAAACTCTTGTGTGGCCCTCATTCCTCTGATGGCATGGACGGATGAATATGTAGCACCATAGGAGAGCAGGGCTGGAAGGGACCTCACAAGGTCATGTAGTCCAGCCCCCTGCTCAAGGCAGGATCATCTCTGATTAAACCACCCCCTCAAGTACTCATGTACCCCAATATATTTTACTTTGGTTTTGAACACTGATGTAAATAACACTGGGATTAGGACTGGCCAGACGTGCAGCTATTTCCAAGGTAAGCTGCATGCAGTAGGATGCTGTTACTGTGCCACACCTGTAGGTAGCATGGACAAGATAATACTTTGTTGCCCTCAGCTAATGGCTACCCCAGATGGGTAAGAACAGATATCATCTTCAACTGGCTAACGTATCCCTATATAGTTTTACTCTTTCAAGGGTACTTCTTTACCAGATTGCTCAAAGTTACTCCACCTAATCTGTCCACTCTTTTTTTTTTTTAACACTGGTTTCATGCTGATTACACCAGGGTAAACATCCTGTCTGTCCATGCCTGAGTGATTGAGAAGGAAGCAGACAGGCATTGTAAGAGATTGACTTGCTTGCATGTCTTTATAACTTTAGGAGAGAAGACAATGAAGTAGAGTTCATCGCTTGGCTTCTCTGAAGTTTGTCCTCATGGAGTCACTCATGTCATGGTCATAAAGATGGCTGTGAAACAAGAGACCTCAGCACTAGCCCTGGAGGTGATGTGAAGTATGCACCTTGCTTCCTGTGACATTGTGGACATGGAACTACAGAAATGAACCCAGACGGCTCCTAGCTCCAAAGATAACCCCTTGGCGTGGATCTCTATTCCCCCTTTATTGTGGACTTGGTCTTCCCAAGGGCTCACCTGAAAAATGAGTGATGGTGTGTGGATCTCCCTCAGTCCGACAGAGTTTGCTCAACTCCAGCAATACACTGATTGTAAGTACCAGGACTCTTCCTTGGCTCTGTTGCCATTTTTACTATCATCATGGATTGCTTGTGTGGGGGCAGGGTGAGTGCACCTGAACTCAATGGCCAGGGGTGTCACCCACATCTTGTATGCAAGACAAAGACAGTCCACATTCTCCTCTTCATGGTGGCAGTACCCAGAGCCCATCCCATGGTACAGAACCTCTGTAGACAGGGAATGTGCACATGGAGGTTTTATGAGGTGCTACTGTATATCCTATAGGTGCTACCAGTAACCTGCGTTCCGTGGAGCAAACGAACGTGTACCTCTGTGGTTCTCCAGCACATTTGGGCTGAGGTCTGGCCTGTCCCAAGTCACAGTCCTGACTGTCACAGGTCAGGCAGGTTATGTTTGTAAAAGTGGTAGTGACCTGAGGTGATTTTGGTCACTCGATCCACATGCATGGGTGCAACAGCATGTGTAGAGGGTGAGGAGAGGCCTGCCGTTGTTTGGCAGGAGTCGTTCTCAGCTTTGTCCATCACAAAGAACTCATCAGAACTGCCCTGTGCATTATACCTATGTAAAGTTTGAATAAACCTTGCTCCTTCAGCCCTAGAGACAGGGGCTGACTGGGCAAATCTCTTCCCCGCCCCACAACAAACCATAACAACAAAGTGAAATCTTTCTGGGGCCAGGCTAAAGTCATTATTAGGCATCTGCATCACTGATTAAGCAAGGAAGTTTCTAGTGCTTGCAGCAGCAGCATATACAGTATCTTTAATACACTTATTCTTGCACTAGCGCCTTCAGACTTCTCACAGCTGTTCCTGTTTTAGGCACTGGCAGTTCCTTCCCTTTGCATTTCAATGTATGTGGATCCGAGACGAGTAATCCAGGTTAGCTGCACCAGGGAGCCCCGCCAAGCTCCCTTCCTGGAACCACGAGCCCAACTCCCATTAGAAAATTTTGGGGGATTAAACCTTCTCAAATATATTTGATAGCCACAATAACGAAGACATGACGTGAGTCTGAAACGAACTCTGCTTCCATTGCAGCGGGGAGTGGAAGTTCAGCTTGGGAACAGCTACAGTGGTAATGCTACTCCCTTGAGCAGAACCCGCTGGGTATCACTGGTAGGGAGCTACCCCTTGCTTTTGGTTTCCACCCACCGATTTACTCCTGTGTATAGGCCTTCCTGCTTGCAGTGGAGCTAGCATCAGGCAGGGTGAATGTTGACATCAGCTGTACCAGTTGAAAAGGTGGCTAGGGAAACTCAGAGGATCCCTAGGCAGAGCCCTAGACTAGTGTTTACTACTGTCTTGACCAGATCACCTCCCTTATTTCCCTCAGCCTATACTCCATCTTCCCCTTGTTTTCCTCACTCTCTACTGTGGCAGATTCAAGCTTGTGACTGTTTTGAGGCCCTGGCACTGTGGGAGGGGGGAAGCTGTGCATGGATGAGATCAATGGCCCATGGTTACCCAAAAAGATGCAGTATTATTAACTGCTGCACTGCTACTCCATTTTATCCAACGACTATTAAAGGCAAAAAGCAGACATGCAATTGGAGGCAGATACCAAAACCCAGGGCCCAGTCTGCCAAGGCAGGGCAAAGCTCACTGAACCATATTGCCTAGACAGTTGCCTGGGGCTTAGAGCATGTTGCAAGGAAGCGGGAGATGTCGGTCCAAACTCCCTTTGGCAAGGTGGGGTGGGCAGGTTTCTCACTGCCTGTGC